ATTATACCGAAGTAAGGCTTGGCATATCTCACTTTGCATGTAATGCGTCTATCTCATATATTGGTTTCACCTTTTCAGCTGCCTTACTGACATAAATGAACATTTGCACAATATCCTAATTTTTCGAGTTTCACCTGTATATTCAACAAAAGAAAGAAATTTATGGTTTTTATATGGAATCTTTCCACAGCTCATTAAATTAGCAAAAGATATATATTCAGAATTCTGGAGGCAGGCAAGATATACATGTTCTAAATAAATAATAAATTACATTACCAAAAAATTGGGACATGGGGAATCCAGCTCTATATTAAACTGGATCTCGTGCATGATGCATAAAACAGTTAAAGGGGCGAGGATACAAATGTCATACTTAAATTTAAATAGATAAATAAATACAAATCTAATGGATCATCCTCCAGGACTGAAAGCAGAGGCATTCACTGGAGAGGGTCCATTCATATGGTCAAGGGGGACAAGTGACAAAATGTGAGTTGCTACTTCCTGATGCAAATCACGTCACTAACATACTTGTAACATTTGGACACAAGCACAAAAGTTGGATTAATGTGACACTGCCATCTGAGTTTCATTTTTTTATATTGCAGTTTGTATCAGACACCTTTGACTGAAAGTGCAAGCATGTGAACATATTACCATGAATACTGGATTCATGACTTCATTGTACTAACATATTCACAATCTATTCACAACTGACAATTACCTTTGCAGTGTGCCTTCAGCTGATCTTTCCAACCACATTCAATTAATTTGGCTCTCAATAATTCTTTAAGGCTGTAAAAATAATGGTGTTGGGAATTAGCTAGCACGAAAAATGTCCACACAGGGTCCTAGAAAAACTTAAATAGACTTTTCTTCCTAATCTGATAGCTGACACTCTAGGAATGAATGAATGAATGTTTTTTTTAAATGTACAAATAAAATTTAAACATGCATAAAAAAGATCCAAAATTTAAAATATGAAACTCGTACAAATAATTTAGGTAGCATATATTGGCCCAGTCAGTATGAAAATAAGCTGTGTTAGTTACATTTTATCTCTAAGTAGTTCAAGGCAACTCATTTGATCTCCCACATGTCTTTTTTTTATATTCGCAACAATCTTATTTGGTAGATCAGATCAAATTAAGTCAAATCCAGCTGCAAAGCATAATTTATGGCTTTGTGTGATATGTAAACCTAAATACTATGGCTTGTTCAGCAAGTCATGATTAAAATGAACTATAACTTAGCAGGATGCACGAACCAGATAACAGGCTGGTTTTTATATTGTGCTAAGTTATAATTAAGATAACTGCATGTAAATCACAATAATTGGATTCACACAACCTACTGAACCAATATCAAGCTGTATTATAATTTAGGATAAGATCACTCAATTTATTTTGATATATACTTGTATTTTTTTCAAGTTACATGCAATAATCTATTAACAATATATTATTTCTTGTACATTAGCAGCCAATGTGATTGCCACTCCTTATTCTCTTGGCCTTAGAATGGAAAACAAAGGAGCAATGGACTCATCAAAAAAATCCCATTTTTCTTATGGCCAGAACATTCAAAAGGTTCCTAGATTTGTTCCAACTGAACACTTGATGGAGTCTTGTTCTGATGGAATGTAGCCAACTTACAATGTTCCATTGGAATGTTCTGAATACGGCTGTTTTGCTCAAACTCAGAACAAAACACTTTTTTTTTTGTTTCATGCACATCCTTACTTTTCAACCAGTGAGCAATACCGTTCTACAGCTAGCGCAGAAAATAAAACCCACCTACCGTTCTCGTTCTCCTGTTTCAATTAACTTTTGATTAATAGTTGCTCTCATTTGTGCATCTTTGTTCATTTTTCCCTCCCGAGTGCAAGTAGAACAGATCTATTTAAAAAGAGAGAGAGAAGCAGATGGACTTTTGTGTCATAGAACACTCATTTTCACTCGTTTTTCAGGAGGGTACAGTCTGGAATCCCAGAAACTGAACATACTGCCAACCACATGCCAGAGAATTGACAAGCTTCCTGGTTTTGGTTCCTCCTTAAATCTGCAACTGGTTCTCTATCAATATAATGGAAAGATTGATTAGTATTACTCTGTGTGATCAAGATTTACTGCTGTGATTAAAAACCAAGTTGTTTTCTACATGTATTACATGTTTTTCTTTTTCTTTTCTTCCTTTTTTCTGTTTTCTTCTGCTCTTTGTATTCTTTATTTTCTTTACTTTTGTATAGTACAGCAAATTAAAAAATAAAAATACATCAAACTAAGTTATGGGTATTCTGATCAAGCCATAATGTTCTGTTCTTACATTACGCTAAACCATAAAACTTTTATGGCTTTACAAACCATACCATTTGCATGGCTTGTAAACTAGAATGGTTGATTCATACACCATGTTGGTTAAACCAAATAATTAGTACTATGGCTCACGGTTATTTGTGAACCCAACCATTATCATGTGCTTTGAAAAAGGCAAAGGCTTGATTTCAAGCTAACTTACAAACTATGGCTTGTATGAAAGCCCTTAACTCTAGTTCCAGCTCATGTATGATTAATTCTGTCTTCCTGGCTTCTTCAGTGACTCAAGCAAATGAAGAATCCATCGCAATGGAAGTGGGTCTGGGCCTCTCCTAGCTAGCTTACCAACCTGGATAGTTTACCATAGCATTGGAAACTGGATTCATACAACTTCTATTCTCTGAAACTTCTTCTATGTGGACCAGAAAGTTTAGGAAAATAAAGGTTGGTTTGCTCTAAACAGTTCAAAGGCCTTTAATTAAACTATCGAGAGCCTTCAAGAATTTTTGTCAGGTGTATCTAGAGCAAGGGTAGTTTACTGAAGTCTGCATTAGGAGGGCTTTGAACTCAGTGGATTGGTTCACAACACACCAAACCAAAACAGATTTTATTTAGTTGCAGTTTAGATTGTTATGTGAACCCACCTGTGAGTGTGATTAGTGGGTTGCATAAACATAGCCATAATTCAACAAAATATGATTCAGCATGGTTTGAGCCCCATTTAAAACTGTGAGCTTAGTGTGAACAACAAGAAGGGGCATTTTATCATTTCTGGTGGACTTGTAAAAAAGCAAAAAAAAAAAAAAAATTGGGATGAGATACATATTTTCATACAGCAGATTTTAAAGATTAATATTGAATCAAAACCAGAGACTTTCCTTTTGGGCTTAATGAATAAACAGTTTGAAAAAACATATGGAACTTTGTTTTTATATATGATAACAGCAGTAAGGCTTTTATATGCACAGAGATAGAAAGTTAAGACATTACCTACAGTGGAGGAATGGATGGTGAAGCTGATGGAGTTGGCTGAGATGGCAAAATTGATGGCTTTGATTCAAGATAAGACATGGTATAATTTTAATACTAACTGGAAACCTTTTTTGGACTTTTTGTGGGAAACAGAAAAAAATGAAATTATGTTGTATGGATTTGATGATTAGAAATAATATGGGTTAATGGAAATAATGGAAGTTATATTGTATATTTATGGCAAAAATCTGAGATGGCAAAATTGATGGCTTTGATTCAAGATAAGACATGGTA